GGGTAAAAATATAAAATACAAGGGGAACATTTCATGCAGTCATTTAGGGCTACCACCAAGGGACCCTTCTAGGTTTAAGAGTTTTAGAGTCACTCTAAGCTTAGACACTTAAAAAGGTAAAACTATTGTCTACTTTCACAAACTTTAGTTGCTACTCAGGGCAAAAAGGGTCAAGCATTATTAACTCGAATGTCTTTTGGCTTATGGCTTCAGTAAGCATGAAAAGGGAAACACAGAAATAGTCCCTACAGTAATAAGACAGAATTAAACCTCACTAACTTCATCTGTCTAGTGCACACAAACAGCATCACAGTCCAACAATAACACAAAATCAAGTGAAGGCCTCTTTCTTCCACTTCACTGTTTCTAGAAATGTCTTCAAGAAGCAAGTCTCATTAACTCACTCCTTCCATGCATTCCTTAAATGTCTGACCTGCCTTGTCTTCCAGTCTTCTCTCTTTAAGATTAAACTGTTTTTAGTTTAGTATTTTTTTTGTTAATTTCTTGCTTGTGAAGTACTATTTGGTGCCAATACTAAGGCTTGAATTCAGAGCCTTGCGCTCTTAACTTTTTCCTGTAGTGCTCTACACCTCTACATCTAACTTTTTTGCTGGTTATCTGGAGATGAGTCTCTTGGATTTGTCTGCCCATGCTGGCTTCAAAACTGGATCTCAGCTTAGGCAGGATTATGAGCCAACCCTAAAGTACTATTTTCTTTCAAATTTTTCAGTTCAATTGATTTCCAAACTAACTTCACTGAAAACCATAACCTTTGGTTAGCTTTGAAGGTTTTCTGATGAAGAACAGAAATCTGATCAATAGTGGCACTGAAAGTAGAAAGAGATATAGTCACACTTATCTGTAGTTGTGGCTTTTATTAAAGCAGCTTAAATCCTTTGTAAATACGCTTTTCAGAGAGCTGGATCGATAGGATGCACAGGCAGGCAAGATTACCAGGGATCCATGCCTGAAAGCCCATCCATGCCTTAGGAAGCTCTGCACCAGTTGCTGAGGTACTTGAAACCTAGAAAAACCCTACCACCTGCTTTTCTGGTGGACACATTTTGTCTCTCACACTCGGCTTCATTTGCAAATTGAATTGGCTGTTCAAATAGGGTTGTTCCCTAGAAACATTACTTTCCTTGCAGTGCAGCTCACTTGAAAGAAAGCTGAAAATTAGTTAGCTGTATGGGAGGGAGGAAAAACCTTATTCCAGTTACCAGGGAGGAATAATTGAACACAGATGCCTGGTGTGTCTTTAATTTAATTTGGAGACCTTTCATCCTTTACTTTCCTTCATTTGCAGCCAATACTCAATGAGCTAATTTGTAACTGGTTCATTTCCCTCCTTTTATCTTATCTAACATCATACAGGAAAATTAGAAGTACTACGAATAACAGATGAAGCCTGACTTGGGTCATTCTTAAGTACGGCTTATAAACTAAGTTGTGTATATACATGCAACATAAGGGGCTGAGATTTATCCCTACAGAATCCATGTTGAGTGTCTTTCTCTTCCTGCAACGACTCATGTCTTTATTAGTTATACCAGGTCCTATTTGTTCTCCAAGAAAATAGCATCTACACTATAGTTCACAATAGAATCATTAATTCCAGAATGGGTATATGGTAACCCATCTCATGAATAAAACTGAGGTTTAAAAGAACTTGAAATTCTGAGAAATGCACAAAGACAAAAGGATGCATAAACTCCACTGGATCAAGTTCAAATGTTGTTTGCCATACAAGGAAAAAAGTTGTAAGAAGAAAAAACTAAATGTCAAAATGCATTTATGAAAAAGGGCGCCCTGTTCTGTGTAAGCAATCACAGGTGAGGGAGAGAGAACCAGAGGCAAAGTCTAGTGGTCACAAAATGCCTGGCTGAGCAATATAGAACTTACATTCTAAATTAAGCCAACCTGTTATGTATTTTATATAGTTGGCATCTCTCCACAAAATGTCACTTAAGTTTATTTATTTTGATCATTTCATTGCCTCTCATTGTGCAAAATTTTATAGCCTGAGGAAGTTTGCATGGGTTTTACTTTAGTTTCTATTTTGTTACTATTCGTCTTCCTCTCCTCTTTATCTTCTCCCCACCTTCTCCCACAGACACATGGGGAAGGGAATACTTTCTCCTGCTTCTAAATATCCTCCACCACAAGCCCTTCTTTCAGTTTGAGAAGCGTTAAAGGAAGGCTGTATTCACTGCCTGTATGTGCCAACTTCTGCACTTGCTTAACACTCTTGCCAATAAGCTAAAAGCTGTGATAAATGGAACTAATTCCCTTTCACAGTCCATTCCATCAATGCTTATTAACAATGATTTGAATTATTTTGCTTAAACGGGGCCATGAATTCTTCACAGGTAAGGCAGCTTTCAAGTTGAACCAGATTAAAAATATATAAATAAAGACTTGGTTTTTAAATTACTGAGCACCGGAAGTAGCGCTGTCGCTCAAGTGGTAGAGTGCTCACTTTGAGCTGAAGAGCTCAGGTACAGCACCCAGGTCCATAGTTGAAGCCCCATGACTGGCAAAACAAAAATAAAAATTCCTGAGCACTGAAATGTGAAGTTCTTTGATTCAGAATATAAGCCACTTCAGATATGGAATCAGACCAGATGCCCCTCAGTAGATGAATGGATCAAGAAAATCTGGTATATATACACAATGGAATTTTATGCCTCCATCAGAAAGAATGACATTGCCCCATTTGTTAGGAAATGGAAAAACTTGGAAAAAATTATATTAAGTGAAGTAAACCAGGCCCAAAGAAACATAGGTCCCATGGTTTCCCTTATTTGCAATATCTAGTATATGTCTGAGTCAAGCAGAAAAGGTCAGATAATGTGATGTTAGGAAAATGAACCCTTAGATATGTATTTTAATGTTTTTTCTTTCATGCATGTGTTTCTAACGCATTTATAAGATTATCTCTTTGTTGCTTTGTATGTCCCTCCCCCACAGTATAACCCCTGCTTTCACTATATTTGATGTCAGTATAACTTGTAGAGGAGATAGGGAAAAACAAGTCATTTAAGGATACAGGTGGACCTGTTGCAACAATGAGAAGTACAAGTTGTCATGTCGAAAATGAGCTTTACAACGTTGGTGGGGGGGCGGGGAGGATTGGGTGGGGGGGCGGGGAAGGGATGTGAAGGGTAAACAAAGGAGGAGGCTGCAATGCTTGATAAGAAATGTACGCATTATCCTGCCCATGTAATTGTAACCCCTCTGTACAGTGTGTTCACAAAAATAAAATAAAATAATAATAATAATAAAGAATATAAGCCACTTCTTTTAGGGGAGGAACACTGAAGCAGCCCAATTTTAAAATAAAAGCAGATCCTTCAAATAATATATATCAACTTTACTGCTGTTATGCCATTCACTACCAAGCTTATGTCTCTGGAGAAATATGGACGGAAAGCACTATGCAATGAAGAAGAAAAGATGAAGAACAACTATTCATTTTATCTTAGAAGACAGATAAATAAAATGAAGGTGACAATTAACCTTAAGGAATGTGTGTGTGTGTGTGTGTGTGTGTGTGTAAATGTGGCTTGAACTCAAGGCCTTGCACTTTTTTTTGTTGTTGTTGTTGGTCATGGGCCTGAACTCTGGGCCTGGGCGCTGTCCCTCAGCTCTTCAGCTCAAGGCTAGCGCTCTACCACTTGAGCCACAGCACCACTTTTGGCTTTTTCTGCTTATATGGTGCTGAGAAATCAAACACACGGCCTCTTGCATGCAAGTCAAGCACTCTACCACTGAGCTATCTTCCCAACCCAAGGCCTTGCACTCTTGCTTAGTTTCTTTGCTCAAGGCTGGAACTCTACTACTTAAGCCATACCTCCACTTCTGGTTCTTTGATGGTTAACTGGAGATAAGAGTATCCTGATTTGTCTGCTCTGGCTGACTTCAATCCTGAGATCTCAGCCTCCTGAGTAGCTGACAGGCGTGAGCCACCAATCATGGAATGGAATCGATAAAAAATTCAACAGGTAGGGTACAGATGAATTGTCCTGAGATTCCGAAAACAAAACAGAGATAAGGATGAAAGTGTGGGCTGGGGGAGAGTTAGGGCTTTCCATTACTAGACACAGACTGTTTTACCAGTGCCAACCCACACTGTTTTTTTAGTGTCCAATTTACTTGAGGAAAGGGGGAGATGGAGTTGGTAGCCAGCAGGATGTCAAGGAATTTCAGATGGAAGAACGCTACAGTCTCAGAGGACAAAGACACCAACAAGCTTTCTTTTGGCTGTAATGGGGTAAGGGGGTGGGGGATGGGGAAGGGAACCATGCAATTCAGTTTTCTTTGTAGACTATTCACAGCTCCACTGTAAAATATCAGCTTAAAATAACTCCACCTGTGCTGGATAAGTGTGTTGGCCTGCCATAAGCAGCAAACAAGATCTTACCAGAAAGTACAGAGGCCTTCCAGAAAGGTCAGAAAGAGGAAAGCAGCCCAGATGCTGCCTTTTGCAAAAAAACATAACCACAGAGCAAAACAATTCCAACTTATTTGCCAAACAAGGTTTCCTTGAAAGAAAAAAAAGAAGCTATCTTCAGGGGCAGAAAGAACTATTTTGTGGAGAATAGGAAGCGATGGATGGGGGACCTATGGAAGTGTCTTCACTATCATTTCCGTAGCATACATAGGAGAGATTTATCCCTAACCTGAGTTTTAAACACCACCTCCACCTACACGCTGCTCAATTCCGAATTACCTGGACGTCACCCCGTACATTAGGCCTGCTTCTGGGTCTGGACTGCAACCCCAAGCCGCTTGGCCACAGTCCAGAGGCCAAGAAAACCTAAGGCAAATTCCCTTCCTCCTAGGCCACACCTGTCCTCTCCGGCTTCTCCACCTGCACAACGAGCGAGGAGCCCCGAATGTGTGCACGGGAACCCAGAACTCCAAACGTGCGACCTCAGCGCGGCCAGACCCAGGGTCCCTCCCGCCGTGGTCCCCCAGCAGGGCAGGCAGGCTGCTACCTCCTGGAAGAGCTCCAGACTGTAGGTGTTGTCGTCGTCGGCGAAGAAGAGCACGCCAGGCTGAGAGCGCTGCTGCTGGTGCGTCTGGCGCAGCCAGGCGAGGCCCGCGTTGCGCTGCTCGGTGGCGCGCGGCAGCCCCGGCCGCTTGTAGCGCCGCGGCGTGGGCACGTGCAGGTGCGTGCTGGGCAGCCCGGCCCGCGCCAGGAAGCGGCTCACCAGCTCGCTGCGCGCCGCCGCGTCCTCCACCAGGATCCAGTGCAGCCGCGCCACCTGGCGGAACGTGTTGGCCAGGCGGGTGAGCTCCGCTTTCTGCACCGGGCGGCTGTAGGTGGGCGTGATGGCATAGATGGTGGGCAGCGGCGGCTCCGGCTCCGCCCGCGGCCGAGACTCATTGCGCTGTTCGGCGTGGCGCCCCGGGCTGACCCTGCGGGGAAGCGGGACGCGGGCGGCCCCACGGCCCGCGGCGGCGTAGGGAGAGAAGTGCGGACGGGGGGTGAGCGGCGGCGCGGGCCTGCGCGTATCCACGTCGAGCATGATGATGACGATCAGGATCCAGGGCAGGAGGATGAAAAAGCGGCTGAACAGCACCGACTTCATGGCGCGCACTGCCCCCGGGTCGGACGCCCCAGAAGAAGGGGACGAGCTGGACGTGCGCGGGGAAGTGCGCGGCTTGGACAGTGGCGGCGGCGCCCGCGCTCAGGGGGCCGCGGCCCGCACGCTCTCCCCCTCGGGCGCCCCGAGCCCCAGAGCTCCCCAGCTCGGCGTGCGGGATCCGCGCCCGGGCTGGCACAGCTGGAATTAGAAGGGGTGCCAGCGGCCCGGGGGCCGGGCTGCCAGGGTGCCCTCGCTCTCGGGGAGTCCGCGGGAAGCGGGACTCGGTCCAGCCGCGAGCTGTTAGCCCCGGAGTTGGGGCGAGCGCAGGGAAAGCACCACGAGCTTTCCGAAGCCGGGGTGGCTGAGGCGACACCCGGGGCGCCTCGCTGCTCCTGTCCGGTGCCGCTGCAGGGAATGGTGCCCAGCTGCGGACCCCAGTGACGCTCCCTGGGACTTGCTCCGAGGCGGGCAGCAGGTGCCGGGGGCTTCCCACCCTGGCGCCGACACCCGTGGCGGGAGGGCGGGGGACCCGACAGATGTGATGTCCCCAGTTCTATTCCCGCGCCGCAGCAGACACCCGAGCTCCTCCCGTACCCGTTCTTTTCTTCTCAGAACCTCTCGCGGCTCTGGCAGCAAGATCCCAAAGCAAGCAAAGAAAGAAAAAGCCGGGGGGCGGGGGCGCTGCAGACTCCAGCGTCCCCCCAGTCCTCCGGAGGGAAGACGGCAGCGCAGCCCAGGCTGGGAGGGGCCGCCAGAGCGGGCGGGCGGGCGGGCGGGCGGGCGGGCGGGAGCGACAGGGCCGGCGCTGCGGGTCTGTGCCCGCCCGCGGCCCCTGCACTGGCTCAAAAGGAGAGCGGGAGGAGGCTCCCCGCGGGGAGGCTCGACCCCGGGCGGGGATGGTGCCCGTCCTCGGATCTCCTAAGCTTTCCAAAATACTGCAAGGTCTTTGGAGATCAGCCAGGAAAATCCATTCACTTGCGGGAAAACTCGGAGACCTGGGAGGGAGGGAGGGAGGGAGGGAAAGAGGAAGGGAGGGGGAGGGGAGAAGAGAAAGGGAGGGACAGCGGGGGGGGGGAGAGGGAGAGGGGGAGCAATGTGAGGCAGCCCATAAGAAGGACATCAATCCCAAACAGCGCTTCCAGACTGCAGTTAGATTTGGAAATTCTTCAAAGTCCAACTGAGTATGGTTTAACTTGGCTTTTCTTCAATAATCTGGAGCCACAGTCCCATTACAGTTTACTCTCACCAGAATTTTCTCCCTGCGATCCTTTCAAGGAAGGTTGGAAAGCACATTTCCCCTTCATTTTCCAGATAAGGAAACCAAAACTCAGGATTAAAAGGAATTTCTTCCAGGTTAGTGTCAAATGTGGCCAGTGGAAGAACGGGTCTAGAAGTGCAGCCTATGGCGTCCTGTGCACAGCCTGCACCTCTTCCTCTGAACACTCAGCACTCCTAGACACCAGCGAGGTACCATCAGAACCAGACCATGGCATATGGAACCATGACAGCGTCTGCACAAGTACATTGGATAAGTACACCGTTGGCGCATGATTTTGCCTTTTCTAGCTAGGGGATCTACTCATGGTGGGCTAAGAAAGAAGAGAGCATACTTGTGGGCACACATCCCAGGGAGAGGCTTCCAAACAGAAGGAATACCCACCCCCTCTTCCTGCTCCAGATAAATAATTTCTGAGTGTATCTTCTCTGATTTTTCTGCCTTCTTCAGTTATGTTCACAAATCCAACTGTGCATTCTCAGAGGGCAAAGCATAGCTTTTGGAGGAGATGTCTGCTTCACCTTTCTGGGTATTCTTTTCTGGCTCTACCTTGAACCTCCTTTCCATTATAGGGGGTGGCCCATCTGTGAGTTGCTTCAATTTCATGCTCACATTCTGACACTGGAGAGTGAAATCTTACACACTGGTCTCTTCTCCTAACCTACTGAAGCTTGCTGTCCTAACTCACAAATCACATTTGAAGCTCTGCAGATTCGTGCATCCTAAAATCAAAATAAAGATTCCATTGGATGTCCACCAAGATTCTAGAAGAGCCCCAATGTATCTTGAATGGAACACCGAAAGGATCCATCACAGCATCCCAGGGGACCACGCAGAGGCAGGCAGGCACGGGAGAAAGATTATTACAAGGTTTATTAGAGGAGCTCCCTGAGAGGAGCTCATGGCATCTGCCACTTTCTAGGTAGCAGCAGCGTCTCAGGGTAGGAAGTGAGGTAGATGGGAGCTCATGTGGTCTGGGCGGAGAGAGGGCCCACTGTATAGCAGGAACTCCAGGGCAGGGAGGAGCCCAAGTCTGTGGAGCTGAGGACCAAAGGTGGGCATAATACTTACAAACACAACTTAGGAAACTCATGCCCTGCTCTGGGCTTTGTATGCATGTAACATCATGAGTAAGGGTAATGGGGTGGGCAAGAAATCAATACTGGCTTTCCTTAAATGCTAGAAGGCAGCACACAAACTGAAACCCACCATCCATACTTACTGAAGACTTACTCTGTGAAAATTTTTTTTATTTGGTTGAACAAAATGGCTCATGTGAGCTGGAGTAAAAATCAACTGGTCAGTGAATTGTATTAAAAAAACATCACTTTCATTAGTGATGTTTTAATGATGCTTCTGTTAGGTCTTAACTAGTCTTAATAGTAAGCCCTTTCCTGTCTTCTCCCACACCAAGGCTCTTTACTGAACAACAGTTAAATTTGGAACTTGAGATTTTAGCTAGTGCTCACAGTTTAAGGAGCACATGAAGAGCTGTTGCTCCATTTTTGTATTACATACATGGTTAGCCAGGTTTATCTCATCTGTTCTCAGCCATCATGTTTCTTGAAGCTGGGCAGACATGGGTTTGAGTCCCAGCTGGGCTACTTTTCCTTGTGCAACTCTACAAATTTAATGAGCTTCTCAAAGGCTCCATTTCCTTATTATGTACACCATGGGAATCTTGCAAGGATTAAAGAGGATAAGTGTTTTGCAGCAAAATTGGCACTACATGGAAATAGTTAACCTGGGAGTCTCTCTGATCACAATTATCACATAAATATGAAGTGAAATATCTTCAAATAGTGCCTCCACCTATAGGGAAAGAGATTTCCATTGGTGTGTTAGAGTTTTCCTAAATAGCTATAGGAAGAAGAAAGAAGAAATCAATTGCCCCAAAGTCAAGGCATACAGTAAGGATGACACGATTCTAAGTGACACTTATTGCAAGTGGGTGAATGTGCCATATTGTTTTATACTCAATGACTCAAAAATCCCTAATGGTCAAATCTCAATAAAGATTACAACAGGGTTACATCTGTTGTCACTGTATTTGATTCCGTTGTCCTGCATCTTAAATATACATTTTTCTAATTTGGGGAGGGGAAGGGAAATAACAAAATACTGAAATAAGGATACAAGATGACCCATTGTAACAACGAGATGTACAAGAACTATGTTGAAAACGAACTTTACAAGTTTGGGGAGGAGAGGGAGGAGTTGGGGGGAGGTGGGGAGGAAAGGGATGGTAGGGAACAACAATGGAGAGGGTAACAATGCTCAATAGGAAATGGACTTATTACCTTGCTCATGTAACTGTAACTTCTGTACAGTGTCTTTACAATAATATACATATATATAAAGATATAGGGTTACAGAGATATTATCAAGAATATCCATTTGAAGTATACAACCAGAGTACAAAACTTTTATGTGCAAAAATATATCATGCATGAGAAAATATGTAAGATTTATTAGGTGGTGTAATAGAAATAAATTTCTTTAATGGAAATTGGAAGAAAATACCATTTCTATGAAGAATAATCACTGGGTAGCTACAGTACTTTTTCTATACAGCTTATGATATTCTTCTATAAAACAATTTAAATTTGATCTGTAATTGGTATGAAGGTTGGTGGAAGTCACTAGAGTAATTAAAATAATTACCTAACTTTAGAGCTTCAGCACATCCTCTCACTGTTTATTTTCATTTAATCTCTCTAATTATTTGTGTAACAAAGTGAGCACTGCTTCCTCTGTACTAATGAAGCCTGGATTGCTGCCTTCAGCCACTGAATTTCAACATTCAATTGTTTCAAATACACAAAGGTTAAAAAATTCCCATTTAGGAAGCTAGCAAAACTCATGAATAATCACTGAACATTTACATTTGCTGTGATGACTAATATGCAACTATAACTTCTGGAGCAAAAAGATTGCAGTGTGATTTGTGCGGTGTACTGAACTGATCCCATTTGACATTTGAGCCTGGGGTTTTGCTAGTGTGACTAAATCAACCTTCAAGTGAGTATTGGGAACATTCTTGGTATTCTCAGTCAAGCAGAAAAAGAGAGTAAGGGGAAAAAAATCCTATACTGGTTTAAGCATTTGGAACTCTAAACAGGATAAGAATGTGGTTATGCAAATCAGCACATGAAAAGAATCAGGACTCAAATACTAATTATTGGTAATCAGTATTTGCACGTGAATATAAATGTTTCTATTAAATCGTTATTCACAATCATGTGAAAGAATGATGTTGAATTAAATAGGTTCTAATAGCTTCAAATTCCAGGGATACTTTTCACTTTCATTGATTACTGGCAGAAAAAAATGATACCCAAACCACAGATTAAGTGGCTCATTTGGTTTACTTTTTTTTTGCTTTGAATTATCTACAAATATCACTTTTGGCCTAGAATTGTTCTGAATTAGGATGCTTTCTTAACGTTTCAGACTTTTTCATTTATTATGTGTAAATAAAATTTGTCCAGTAAAACCCTATTTTTAAAGATTAACTGAAACCAGAGTTATTCATTACCTGAATTTCTAGAAAAGCAGAAATTGACAGTATACCATAACAGTCTTACTTAAAAAACAATTCACTCAGCTGGGCATTGGTAGTTCATATTTTTAATTCTAGTTTCTTAAGAGGCTGAGATCTGAGGATTATGGTTCAAAGTATCCATGAGATACTTATCTCCAATAACCAGCAAAGTGCCAGAAGTAG